GACACCGGGCGTGTGAGCTCACGGGAAGGACCTGGGGAGACCCGGCCAGGCCTGTGTGTTCAGATTCTCCGTGTCCTGTGTCCCCAAAGATAAGGACGCCCCTTCCCTCCCGGTGCAGGGAGACGCCTCTTGAGGGAGGGTCTCGTGTCAGCTTCAGGGAAGGGGCCGAGCGTCCTTCCTGGGTCTTACGGCCTCGTTATGGGAGAACATCGGGAGAACTTCCTGCTTCTGCCGTTTTCTCAAATGCCAAAGTGCTGTGTGTCGGGGTGGTGTGTCCTGAACTGCATTAATTCACTGCCACGGATCAGATGCCTCCGAGGCAGAGCTACTTTCCTGAAACAGGACTTTGTAGAATGTTGGCACGGTACAGAAAAAACACGTCCCCGGTCCAAACGTGCCGCCTGCCCATAAAATCCGCTTCAGCAAGTTGTGCCTCAGGCTATTCCCTCGACACCTTCCACGACTCGATTTGACCTTAAGACACAGCCCACGGCGGACCCAGGCGCCTCTCGTGGCCGTGGAGCGAGGCATCCGGGCTGACTCGGGGAGGCTTGTGGGTGCCCCGTGGCAGGGATGCTTAGGGGCAGGGAAACTGCAAGGGGAGCCCCCTCCCCACCTCCACGTATGCACAGGTGCACATACATAGCCACACATGCACAGGCGCATACACGCACGCATACACACACAGGTGCACACATACATGCATGCACATACAGGTACATACATGCACTCATACACACAGGTGCATACATGCGCACATATACACACAGGTGCATACATGCACACATACACACATGCACAGGTGCATACATGCATGCATACACACACAGGTGCACACATACACACATGCATAGGTGCATACACGCACATATACACACATGCATAGGTGCAAACATGCACACATACACACAGCACAGGTGCATGCACGCACACATCCACATATGCACAGGTGCATACATGCACACATACATGCACAGGTGCATACATGCACACGTACACACATACACAGGTACATGCATGCATACACACAGGCACACACATGCATGCATGTACACATGCACAGGTGCACACAAGCACACATAGAGACATACATGGACAGATGCACGCATGCATATATGCACAGATGCACCCAGGTACACGTGTGCATGTGCACGCACGAACACATGTATGAACGTGCACACATATGTACACATATGTACACATGCACGTGCACACATGCACATAGGAATATAAAGGCAACTCCTAAGAACACTTCTGCCAAGTCTCACAACCCAGGAATGTTCCCAGAGAACCAGGAAACCGCCTCAGACATGTGCTTACCGAGGCATGAGCAGCCCCGTCTCCCACCTTCCCAGAACTCAAGCCGGTGTCCAGCCCCACGTCGCAAAACCCAAATCCCAATGATGCAGGAAAACGAGCAGCTTTGTCTCGAGAACATGGATGGAGCAAGTTGTGTGTGCTTAGCCACATAAACGGGCGCGACTCCTTCCCGTCCCCACAACCTGCTCAGCGGACTGCCTGGTTTCCTCGCGACTTCAGTAACAAAACGTTTTCTTTCTCTCCGGCCTCTGTGGCGGGGTTTTCTTGGTTGGGAAACGGTTTTGTGTTTCTTCATCCTATTTCCCCAAGAACAGCAAGAACTCGCCGACGCACAGGCTCTGAACGGGGCTGTCGGAAGCTCGGCGATCGCGCCTGCAGAGAGAGAACTTAGCCCCCATCCCTGCTCAAGGGACCGAGATCTCGATCACCCAGAAACACCGTCCTGAGCATTGGGGTACAGGGGGGAATAGCCGCAGCGACACTCTGCGCCATCTACGGGGACATCAATAACCTGCTTAAGTCTCAAGATAGTTCTCGTGCAGACACCTCCTCTTCTCTTCGTTTCAATGACTGTGAAACGAAACACACAGCCCACGGAGGGACGTTCCCAGTAACCACACGGAGAGTTTTAAAATCTGAATATCCGCCAAACACAGAGCAAGCTTATGCTAGTGGACTCAGGGGGAAAGAAAACCGCGTCTCCTGAACGAAACGCTCAGATCCTTGCAAAGCGGACGGTTGAAAGGGCAGGCAGCCTTGCAAAAGTAACACGGAAATCCCTAATCCTACAATCTCCCCAGGAATGGTTACAGATCACTCCCGTGAGTTCCCTCGCTGGCGGGCACCCTGCCGGAGTTCCGTTCCGCACAACTTCTGAAAGGAGCTGAATGCACGGAAAAGAGACGTAAACCGCTCTCTTCCCAAAGTGTTGTGTGAGAATCTGCTTTTGCAGAGTTCCTGGGTCCGCAGCAGGAGAGCAAGCTCCAGCCTCACCCACATCTTGAGGACAGAGTCGCAGGTCCTGCCATAATCCCTTCTGCAGGGAACCGCAGGAAACCGAGTTCTTGCACTTTGACGTCCTGCAGTTTTTGTTATCTGCCTGCTGACGTTTGTTATCAACGGACGGCCGTCACTGTTTTTTGTCTGTCTTTGTCCCCCATAAAAGCAGCGAGCCCCTTGGCCTCGTGGCTGGCACCCCCTTCTGTTTCTTTGGGATGCCACGCCGTGTTTCTCTCTCTCATTCTCTGTCTCCTCTAAAAGCATAAAATAAACTCTTACACTTATATGTCTTAATTTCTGCATGAGGAGTCTTTCTCCACCCATGCCGTGAGCACCTCCCAGCCTTCCCACCCTGACGGGATCTCTCCCCTTTAGAACAAGAGCCGGTGGTTGTTTGATATTTTTAAGCTCCGTCTCCCCGTTTCCAGAAAAAAGACGGAGCTAACTTAAGCCAGCCTGGGGTGCCACGTTGCAAACGCTACATCCTGAAAAGAGGAGAATATTAGCAGTTTTATCTTGAGGGTGGGAATGTAGAAAGTTGTCTCCGCTTAGCTACCTGCAAGGGTGCAGTGTGTTTCTGTCTTTGCAAACTTTTACGTGGATTGCCTGGGAGGTGCGTTGAAGTCTGGTTGCATGTTTCTTCGGTGATAAAAGGGTTAAATAGTCCTCTTCTACCTTTGTGGAAGGGTTTTCTGGGCTGGGAAAGAAAGAAAAGAAGGAAGGGAGGAAGGAAAGAAGGAAGGAGGGAAGAAAGGAAAGAAGGAAGAAAGGAAGGAGGGAAGGAGACAAGGAAGGAGGGAGGAAGCAGGGAAGGAAGGAAGGAGGGAAGGAAGGAAGCAGGGAGGAAGGAAGCAGGGAAGGAGGAAGGAGGAAAGGAGGAAAGCAAGGATCCCTTTTCCCTCTGAGGTGCACCACGCCTATCTTGCTGAGTATGCCGCCGCGTAACAAAAGAACCAACAAACCACTCGTGGGTGGAAATGGTGGCAGAGCAGCACTCGGTGGCATCAAGCATGAAGGAAGACGGCTTCAGAGCATCCCGGCCACTGTCCACAGAAAAGAAGCCAAACTCTGTAAAATAGTTTAAAGAGGTTTATTCTGAGCCAAATTTGAGGACCACAGCCCGGAGCCACACCCAGGAAGCCTTGAGCAAGTGGACTGGCCGTGGCTGGGTCACAGTTTGGTTTTATGCATTTCAGGGAGACGGGGGTTACAGGTGAAGTCGTAAATCAATACATGGGAGGTGGACATTGGTTTGGCCCGAAAAGGTGGGACATCTCTAAGCAGGGGATTACAGGTTACAGATCGGTTTGAAGACTCTTGTAATTGATTAAAGACACGAAGCTTTGTCTAAAGGCTTGGACTGTTTTAAGAAAAGTCAGTCTGTTAATCAGAGACAAGCTATGGACACATATTTGTTGTGTAAACTGAGGACCTGCAGGTGTGACCAGCACAGCCTCAGCCTGTCAGTGAGTCACAAAGGACGTCCCCAAGAAGGGAGGGGCAGGATGGGGCAGGTCTGACCTCCCTCCTCCTGGCCAGTAACTCAGTTTTAGGGCGTCCCCTTGGCCAGGAGGGGTCCATCAGTCAGTCGGTGGGCAGGGTTAAGACTTTCTTAGGGCTCACATCTGCCTTCCCTAGAGCGTGCGTGCAAACATGAGGCACACAGACGTGACAGCAAATATCTCCCCAAACAGTCGCCTCCCACCTACAGCGAACCCGCCACCGGGCCCTTGGATGCAGACAGCGATGGCTACCGAAAGCTTGGCGCTTGTCCCCGAGGCCACATCGGAGGAACAAGGACAAGAGGTTTAAGGAGAAGGTAAGGGAGGTTTATTCCGTAGCCGGCACCAACGTCCTCTGCACGAGCAGAAATACGGAGCTTCTCAGCTTCAGTCTGTTTTAACTACAGCGGATGGTGCCGATGGCCCCGTCTGTGTCGTGACTCCTGCCTGGAGAAGTCCCTTCGGCCGTGTCCTGTGGGAGCCATCTGCCCCTCAGATTACCGGACTGCGGGTTCTAGCTCCCAAGAAGCATGGGCGAAGAATTAAAGAGACAACTTGTAATGCATTTGGTTCTTTTTCTTTTTTTTTTTTTGAGGCCGAGTCTCACTGTGTTGCCCGGGCTAGAGTGCCGTGGCGTCA